TGATCATTATTTCTATATCTTTTGCTAAAAGAGCAAAATCAAGTTAAGCTTAATTCATTTTTATTTACTGGGATATAAAATAAAAGGTCATGCACTTGGACCAAAAAATATCCTGTAATATATTCAAATAAGATTCATTCTAAAAACTCTTTAAAATATTTTAATGTTTAATGGTATTTGATGTAGACATGTACAAAGGCACATCAATAAATTTGTAGCTTAACTTCTAGTTATTAACAGAATTCTCATTTTAAATTTTCATTGTATAATATCCAACCTAATATTCACTATTGAATTAAGTGCATTAACAAGGAACAAGACTATGCTGAAAAATAAATTTGCTGTGTAAAGTTTTTTATCGTTAGGCTTAGTGATACACTTCAGTATTTATGTACTAAATTAATTATGACAAGGTAAAATAGGAATATGGATAGGAAGATTGTGTTGCGCCAATCTTCAAAATGTCTATTTTGAAAATGACTATTTTAAGTAATGGCTTTTTGCTGGGTTTGAACACAGCATTGTGGGGGAGGAGGAATATGTTAACTAACCTATCAGATTAAGGCTTTAATCAAAGTTGATTATATATAAAAATTTGTTTGTTTGTTGGTTAAGATAGTTGCATATTTACCACTAGCAGTAATGTGACAAGTTTGGATTTTAATTACCAATTTTCAATGTAGGCACCCTCTCTGCTTGTAAAATGTTCATTTATTAAAGGTTTAGTCAAATATGACATATGGAGAAATGAGGTAAGATGCTGTACAGAAAGATTGTGTTATGCATAACTTTCAAGAAAGGGGCAGCTGCCTTCCTTGAAAATCTGAATTCAAAATCTTTGATTTTTCTGAGGCTTGAACATTGACATTAATGAGAAAGTAATGCATCAAGCAGATCAACTAAGTTTACTAAATTTTATGGCAGTTTTTCCATTATGTGCAGTTTTGCTTCCAGCACTTTTTCATACCACTTCTTTAGGACTATGAAGCATTGTTACAGCATTAGTATTGTTAGGTTTTCAAATAGTCCATATAGAATATTATAGAGATGTCATTTACTTCTTAAGTTTCTTGTTATATATTCTTTTTGGGTTTTGTAAGATTAAACAAAAACAAAAAAAAAGTTCTATTTTTAAGAATTGAGTCAAAAATGTAATTATGAAGAAATGAATTTGTAAGTTTCAAAGATGGTAAAATAGGTTTCATGCTAACTCTACAGTAAACCCCGTGCTAACTCTACGGTAAACCCCGTGCTAACTATTTACAGTGCCACTTGCTAAACATGAAAAACTTTTAGTCCAGTTTTCAAACACCATATGATAATAATGGTTCTAAAGTGCAATTTACACTGGTGCTCACAACTGGGATATGTCAAAGAGAAACTGTCCATCTATGAACATTCTTTAAGGCCTGATTCTGCACTTGGTGGCTTTGAGGTCATATTCTGAGGTGACACTTAGTACAAAGTCCATTTTGGTATCTCTTTGGTGCCAGTGGGTAATATACAACTATTTCAGGCATGCAGCAGGTCTTAACATCTTAACATTGAAATGAATGTTCTTTTTTTTTCCTCATCAGCAGTTAATAGATTATTCTGTCAGAACATTTGCTAATGTCAAACATTTCTTTTACTCCCCATATGGAATTTCTTAATTTTAGGATGACAGTTTCTTTGTAATTGTCACATTTCTTTTTTGTTCTGAATCATATCAGGCTGATTAAAAAAAAAAAAAAAAAATTGAAACTTAATCATTATATCCAACCATTTATTAAACTGATGTTATATTACCTTTGAAAATGTGTAAAATCTAAGTCATAGCTTTCTACCGAAAAGTTTAGAAACTGCTGACAGATTGAACATTATATAGTGGAAATATCAGTTCAAAATTCTTGCATCTCTTTAGGAAATATTTCATGTTGACTAATATAAGCTAGTTTTATTTACATTTGCTTTACTTGTCCATTTCTTTTACAGATCAGAGTATGTCATATTACAGCACTACCAAACACAGGAATTAAATTTACAACTGCTATATGTTTTAAGTAGATACCTCCACCAACTCACTAAAAAAATTAGCATACCATGAAAAAAATGCCCCAAACTTAATAAAAAACAAATTTTAATTGGCCCACTGTAACTTGATATATTGAATGTATCCCCTGCATTTTTCATCTATTATGTAATTCATTATTTTGTCAGTGTATTTGCTAAAGGATTTTTCCTCATTATAAATAATTTCTCAGTGTCAGTAAAGCATTGTTTCTTTGTAATTGTTACATTTCTCTTTATTTTGAATCATGTCAGGCAGATTACAAAAAGAGATTTAAATAAAGATTAATCATCCAAATAATGTTCAATCACTTATTAAACTGATGTTATTTTGCCTTTGAAAATGTGTAAAATCTAAGACATGTCCCTTTACTGAAAATTTTAGAAATTGCTGACATAAATTGAACATTATATAGTGAAAATTTCAGATCAAAATTCTTGCATAAAAAAAATGCATTTTTTTCATCATTAGGTTATGGACTTACTGAGGTATCATATACATACATATATATGAGCTGTGAAACAGTGTCTGTGGATGACAATATATATGCTCCTGAAAATTTATTTCGGTTGAGCTCTCTAGGAAAGAAGTGTGAGTTTGTAAACAGTGACTATTACTGCTACTAATGCAATACTCTTCGATAAAATGAATCGAGTTCTCTCAGTCACTGGCATGTTTATCTAAAAATAAATACACTTAAATCCACCTTCATCTCTGCTGTGCACCACCAATAGCTTAGGGGTAGATTCTCCGACTGATGCCAATTAAGCTGGGTTTCAATCCTAGTTAGAGGCAACTGGACGTCTAGCCACACTGATGAGCTGTGATACAGTCTGTGTGTGGATGACTATAATTTGTTGGTTTCTGCTGCTATGAGATCAGGTAATCTCACTTTTCAAGGACAACCCAGTCTGTACATGACTCAGCAATAGGCCAGCACTTATTAAACAACCCTGACTGTACTGATAAGTATGAAGATGATTCTTTCACTATTTTTCACAGAGCCCAGTCGGCTCACTATTTAAAGATTCTTGATGACAGTTTATATTGATACATCAACTGGGTGCATGTAAGCAAAAAGAGCATTTTATTCACTCATTATGGTTAGCTGAAGGAATGTAAGTAATACTTTTTCTTAATACTCACTTGAAACATTTAATTCTTTTTATTCATGAATTGTTTTACAAATAAATTGTTTTTAATTGCATTCTAAAGTTTCTCCTCTGCATTTACTAATTTTGCTTTTCCATAAAAATCTTGTTTTATTTTTATCAACAATTTCCCATCTGATGAAGATTGTAAGGATCCAAAAGGGAAAAAAATGAAAATTCCTATATATATATATATATATATATATATATTACTGAAAAGTTTTTTCTTCCTTGTCAATGCATTTAATACAATGATGACTATTAATCACATAGACCTCAATACATCTGCTACAGAAGCTTGAAAATATTAAAATGAATCAACCGTTTTTCTCATCAGCAGTTAATGATTATTTTGTCAGAACATTTGCTAATATCAGACATTTTTACTCATTAGATCTCATTTCTTAATCTTAGGAAGCCATTATTTCTTTGGAATAGTCACATTTCTTTTGTTCTGAATAATATCAGGCTAATTTTAAAGAAATCTTATTCATTTATAAAACTGATTTTTTTATTCTTTGGCCTGTGAAAATGTGTAAAATATCAAATACTACACTCAGATTAAAAAGTTTTTAGATCACTGAACTCTGTCACCAGGGCAGAATTCAAGAGATAGTACCCATCTTCTCTCTAAATAATAAAAGAGAACTACAATTGATTTACATAGATAAGTAATTATATATTTAAACAGGTTAAGAAGTCTTTTCTTTATTATTTCTAGAATGAAAATTTCACATTTCATGCAATATATGAAAAGAAATTCCCATGTGAATCAGTTTAAAGAATGAAAAAAAGAAAACAAAAAAAACTTATATTTGCAAAAGATTTATGATTAATTAAGTTTAATTATAATATTCATTTATATTTTATATTATTTGAAGAGAAAAATTAATGTCTTGTTTATAGAGACAAATAACAATTTTTGAATCTCCATAACATTATTTGATCATTTCAATGTATTTAGATCTTCGGGTCATCAAGTTAGAAAATTCAATAAGTCAAGGATGGCCACAAATTGAAGCTCAGCAGACATATTTAGCTCTTTGACATTTTATATGCTACAAGCAAAAACTATCAGATTTTTTACTTATGACAATCAAGATTAATTATTTACTATTGATATATATTATTCTTGGTTATTTAATTTGTTTTTTTTACTAAAATACAAACTCAACTATTTTTCTTTGTTATCTATATTAAACAGTTAAAACAATCAAAATTGAAAGCATTTGGTACATGTTCCTCGGAAAACTAATGCAAATTAAGTTTAAAATATCTACATTGAATAAACAATATTTTTCACATGTATCTGTGAACATTTACATAATATATTTTATAAAAGATTGCATACGCAACAATAAAAAACTCATGTGCAAACTTGGCTTATGTCATGCAGCACTGAAACATCTAAAATTTAATCTATGTAGCTCATACATTAAAGCAAGTTTGGCGATGCCTGTTATAAACTGATATACGGTTTTATTTTATATCTTTTCATTTTAAAGGAAAGAGGAAGATAATGCTAGCTTATTAACACATGCTTTGCAATATAATGAAGTAATTAGACACATTCATCTGGAACTTTTATACTAAACTATATAAAAGCTTATGAATTTGGAGTTTATATTTACAATGATTTTCCTAATCTTGACTTTAGTTTCAGTACAGCTAGATACTAAATCTTTGTACTTGAAAACATACGTAAGGCCTGATTCCTGGTATTTCTCATTGCAAATATAAGAAAAGTCAAATTCTGGTAAGCATTTTACCTGGTTGAATGGTTTGGAGTCAAAACTTACACTGCTAACTTGCGAAGGGCTGCGGAACCTGTAGTGATGGTGTGTAGGGGAGTAGGATTTCGTGGAGGAGTCAGAAGAGCTGTTTAGGCTACTAATGCTACACATACTGGATTTCCTAGATCCAAGAGAGCTCGGAGAACTGGGTGGAGTCTGAAACATAATAGCAAAACAGATTACGGCAGGAAAAGAACACAATAAGCAAAACATTGGCCAGTGATGGATAGTGTATAAGCATAGAAGAATCGAATGGTCAGTTGATTGTTAAACCACTACCAATATATGACATTAGTGTTAAAGTCTGGGTTAGGGAAAAGCTACCAACAGACTGGTGACATCTTAAAGAAGCCCTGTTGGAGTGAGTCAGTTAAATCATTACTAGCAGGTGATATTTGTCAAATGACCTTAAGAAGCAATAAAATGGTCACAACAGAATCAAGTTAAGCAGCATCAAATCTGATCAGTACTTAGATGAGTGACTGCTTTGGAACATCAAGTATCAGGTGGCCTTGTGTCAGACTAAGCAAGAGATTTTATCCACATATGAGTTAAAGTCATGTTAATTATGTCAGTAGTCATAATGTTCTCAGGTAATTTAGTAAACCAATGAACTGTGAAAATTGTAGATGAGCGGTCAGTCTAGTCAAAGGAGGTAAAAAGTTTATATGACAATAGAGATGTGAATAGTTATTGAAATTTTAGCACCAGTAGTTAAAGCCCAAACTCATTTATACCAGTAATAAAATAAAATTTGGTGATACCAACACATGAGTATGTAGCGGGTGATGAAAAGTTCTTGGCCAAACTGATTTACACCCCAAAATTACTATTCTGATTTTTGGTCATTGAAGTACTGATTTTGGAAATTAGGTCAGGTTAAGAACTTTTCTGCACTCCCTAATAGTATCAACATTAACTCAATTCTGTAATATGGTAGAATTTCATTGATTTTTCATAACTGATGATGGCAATCACTAGTTCTATATAACATGTTCAACACCAAACAATATTAATTACATAACATCGCGCTTGTTGAAAATTGTGATTGGTCTCCATTTTATCGTCATCATTTTGTCATTTTCCCCTCAAACATTTAGTTTGAGGAATCTTCATTCTTCTGTTCTTGGATTAGACAAGTCAGTAAATAAAACATTTGGCCACAAAGGTGTTTATTCAATGGAGGATTCCAACATCAGTAAACCAATACAGACAATATTATGAGTGTGTGTTGTCCAACTAATTCTATTCTATTTTTGTACCATTTGTTGGTGTTAATTATTCAACACCAAATGATAATCAGTACATATGTGTTGGTAAATATATTTGTTGTGTGAAAATTAGTATAAAATAGATGGAAGACTCTGGCATTGTATTCTATAGAGAGAGGTATCAGAAAATGTTCAGTAACAAACCATTTAAGCATTAAGATAAAAAAATCCAACTGAGAAAGAGAGTAGTGGTAAAGACAGTGGGCAGTGACACACAGCTAAAGCATCTGTATATTCAAAGTAGATCTGGTCATTGCTAAAAAAAAAAAAAAAAAAAAAAAAACGTTACAGTGGATAGTCTATTTCAACTATCCACTATAATAATGATTATATATATATATATATATATATATATATATATATATATATAAGTAAGTATATGTTTGTAGGTTAAAAAAAATATCTTGGAATGAGTAAATCTTGGAGGCATTAAAGAATAAGAGAAAGTGTCTCCCCGACTATTCACAACATTGTGTATATCTGGATTTTGGTTACCAGGTGAGTGATATATGTTTTAAGGTAGGTGACCAGCTTTGAGTAATGCTTAACAAGTTCATTTGACAAACCAAAACTGATGCAGTTAATTCAATCTTCACTGGTGCCCCACTATTGTTGCCCTGTGCCAGCCTAAACTAAGCTTAGTAAATATCAGTATTTCAATACATTATGATTGGCAAACTAGGATTAGTGTTATTTATAATTAGTGGTAAAGTTGTGACAACAAAATATTTATCATTTTCTAATAAGACTAAAAGATGTATTAAAAACGGCTTTTTAAAATTCATAATTATGTTAAATTTGTCAACTAAAATAATACCAGTTGAGGATTTTATAGGATTATATCAGAAGAATCACTAGATAGATGCATTCTCAAACTGATGACTATAAGTAAAGGCATTTGATATTTGTTAGTCAAAGTGTGTGTGGGGATAGTATTAACCCACAGTTTTAGTAGAAAGGTGGTGCATGTTCAGTTAATTTCAAAATTAAAATGAAAAACATTTTTTAAAATCAATCTCATTAATTCTCACCAAATCAAAACTTGCAAATAATTTTAAATTAACAACTTACGTAAATTTTTACTATAAATATTATTATAATATTATATAATTATATATGACTAAATCCTGGGTAAAAATTCTTAACCCTTATAAATTATTACCAACTAAAGTGTTGCTATTTATATGAAACTGGGAATATGCTTTTACATGTAGGTAATATAAGGCCTTTTTAATTTTGTTCATTTTTATTGTCTCACAAAATGTTCTTTTGTCATATATGAGTAAAGAAAGCTATTTAACCTTTGAACAGAATTAACAGGTAACAAACATCTGCTGTGTTTTGCGAATGACAAAACAATGAACATAACCTTATATATAAGTATTCCCAATTCTTTATGATTAAAATTACTTGTTTGATATAATTGACTGATAGTCAACAGTTTTATCAGGTTTTGGCTTCAAAAATAAATTCCCTCATTAAGTGCTGGATACATTATCAATTTGTTAATCAAAAAGTTTCTATTAGGAAGCAACATGCTATCCTGTTTAAAGAAATGCAAATAAGAGTTAATAAAACAACCAACTCAATAAGTTTTGCCTAGTATCACTTTCATCATAATTCCAGTTGCTTTTTATGGCAACTTTCACATCATTCTATGATTTCTAGTCAGCTGCTGGGATTGGAAATAATAAAAAAAAAAAACCTTTGGTAAAACTAGTATTCTGTATCCTGGTGGGCCTGTCTTACCATGAGCAAAGTGGCTGTCATGGTAAGGAGCTGAAGATTTTTAGAGGATTTGTTACTTGATTCTCTTTAACAACCACTAGACACTTTTTGTGAACATGATCAGTGTCAATATTGCATTGGCTATCAACATTTGTAATCAATTTTTACTAGGTTAGAGAGAGAATGTGTTTGATTGTACGTCAGTAAAAGACAAAGGAATATTGTCTTAGTCTTTGAGATAAATAAAAATGAAAATATTTCAATTTATTTTTTTTTAACACCTGGATTCACTTACTGACTATTGAGGACTAGTATAAGCCTGCTTATAGCAGAAGTCAAAAAGATACAAAGTCATTGTTGATCTTTGGTCAAGTAAAAAGTAGCACAACTGATCATTTCAAAGTCAATTATCAAGATTGTCCTTTTATGGGGAGTAATGGGTGATAGATGTCAGTATTTCAGCCAGAGAAATGCCACCAAGAGAGAGATGTTCCTGGACAGTGACTGACCACACAGTCAATAATATACACTATGTCAGTAGTAATGTCATTATTGGTAGGGTACAAAATAACAGCATTAGTCACTTCAATTGCTAAAATCTGACAAGAGTAATTAAGAGAACACAATCCTGGATACCAAAAGAAAAAAAAATTGTATCTAAGATAGTAAAATGCATTAAAATCTATTCCACCAGATTATGTATACATTTCTATTAAGAAAGGGAGGAATAGAAAGCAGTTGTGAAAAGTCTGGATAGAAATTGTCCTATCAATAATTTGTGCATATCTACAGAATCTGAAAAGAGGAATTGTAGCCAAAAACATTAACCCTTAATCTTTCAAATAACATGTAAGCTTTATATCTATATATCAGATCTTTGTGTTTCTGGATTTTTTTTTTTTTTTTTACTAATGTTCACCCAATATAAGGCCCAACAGCCATTCAAGGTAGAGGGTTACTGTGTGGTATTGTATTAGCATAAGAAAAGGGAAGAAGTGAAATTATTAGGGCTATATAGGAAAGACAACAGCTAACTCTAGATTTGAGGAGGTCAAGATTTAATTAGTGAATAAACATTTCAGAGTTCACTCAGAGATGTTAGAAATAATAGTGTGGAAGTAGACTTTGGAAGGAACTGAAAACTCAATCCTAAACAGGAAACAAGGGATAACCCTCTACTCCTGATCAAAAGGTGAGTAGGAACCAGGTGATAGTGGCATATCAACCTCTATGGATTATGTAATGCAGAAATCTAAATATTTTGAATGCAAGTTTTAGTGATACAAGTTTTACTAATTAACCCATAGGAGGTGGATTCCTACTCTTCCCAAGAGTATTTGTGCGTAAGTGAATATAGTGAACCCAACTGAAATTGGAACTTTGCTCTCTAATTAACAATTCTGAGCCATTATCAATTACACCACCTGCACATCCAAACATATAGCACCTAGTATTCCCAAGTGATCATCCATCTAGGTACATGATCGTATAGGAACCAATATTTCAACATGATGTGGCTGTAAGCCTCTGGATTTGTGTATATTAATTCATATTGAAACTATTCTTACAGATATTGGTTGGCACTATACTAATCTGTCAAAACTGCCTTGATTATTGAACCAGTATAGAATGAAATATTTTTTTTTATAGAGTTACTGTGAGAAATTGCTATAAAAACTAATTTTGCCTTATTGATAATTGAAATTAGGTGTTTTAAAATATTCAAATAAAAAAGGCAGTAACATGCACACTTAGATCTAGCTTAGATTTTTTCCTCCAGAGTACCATGTGATTCATTTGTATGTCCATTTTGTTTTCTTTAGCCATATTCCTTCAGGACATAAGGAATCTGGAAAGTCATGATTGCCTTTCTTTATTATCTGTAAACTGCTAAGACTTCTTGGAAAAGATAGTGGAGTGGTTTCCTGTTGCCTTCTCCACAGTTTGGAATTCAGAGTTTACATTGAGACTGGTTGCCTCTCAAGGCTAGAAAGTCCAGTCTACTCTATTGTTTAAACACATTGCTGGCAGAGAGTAGAAAAGTTGGATTCATGCCTTTTCCAAGAGCACTTGTGCAGAAGTGAAGGCAACAGATTAAACCAGAATTTGAATTTGATATGCAGATCCCACTTTCTGTACAGATAACACTTACATCACTTACACAGCCTCTTGACATCATATGTCAAAGTTATCTCTTTTAAAGCCAAAATATAG